TACAGAGACTGAGTTTAAGAAAGTGGGAGGACAACCAGTCAGAGATGGAAGAAAGGCAAGGAGTGACACGTTGCAGGATGGCAGGCGAGAGGTCCAGGCAGGAGAGATATATCTGGGTGTCATCAGTGTATAGGTGGTAGTGGAATCCAAATGAGGTAATAGGTTTGCCAAAAGAGGCCGTATTTAGAGAAAATTGAAGGGGACCAAGGACAAAGCTTTGGGGGACTTCAAACGAGACAGGACGAAGTGAGGAGATATCATTAGAAAAGGAGACACTGAATGAGCGTTGGGAGAGATAAGAGGAAAAACACGAAAGGACAGAGTTTCAGAGACCAAGTGATTGAAGAGTTTGAAGAAAGAGCATGATCAACGGTGTCAAAGGCAGCAGAGAGGTCAAGAAGTATTAGTATGGAATAGTGGCCTTTTGATTTAGCTGCGATTAGGTCAATAGTAACTCTGATAAGAGCAGTCTTAGTAGAGTGGAGAGAGCGGAAGCTAGGTTGAAGAGGGCCAAGGAGAGAGTTGAAATTGAGGAAGTAAGACATACGGGTAAAGACAAGTCTTTCCAGAAGCTTTGAGTTAAAAGGGAGCTGAGAAATGGGACGATAGTTAGAGGGGGAGGACGGGTCAATATATGTATTTTTTTCAGGATAGATACTACAGTGGCATGTTTAAGGTCATGCAAGTAACCCAGCTTACAATACAATAACTTCACCTTTTCTACATGGATCTCTAATTTTAAACAGGCATAAACTACCAGCGAATGCTTGTGATTGCAGAGAGTTGAGCAATACAAAATCCTGGTATGGTATACGCTAGTCTACCACTAATATGTGGGCTAACAGCTTGCTGATCTGTGTATCCTCTGCTGCACTGGTGTGATCAGTTCTAGGTTTGTTCTAGTGTGATGTTGATCCAATAACATATATATAAACTATTACATGTTCTCATTTTAGATAATTACTGAGATATTCCTGTCTGCCCGCACCTCCCACGCCTCCCCCCTCTGTCAGTCCCTATCTTGGCTTCCAGTTAGATATATGGCTCAATTTAAGATTCTGGTGCTTGCTTACAAGTCCTTACATAATGCCGCTCCAACCTATCTATCCTCCCTAATACACAAGTATGTCTCGTCTAGGCCCCTACGCCCTGCCGAAGACCTATGTCTAACCTTTGTCCGTACTCCCATCTCTGATGCTCGACTTCAAGACTTCTATAGGGCTGCACCGTTCCTGTGGAGTTCCCTTCCCTTCTACGTTAGATGCTCACCCAGTCTCCACTCCTTCAAAAAATCTTTGAAAACACACTTCTTTAGGAAAGCATATCAATTAAACTGTCAACAGCGCTCTCTCCCCACACCCTGATTCCTCTCCTGCAACTGTCATCAAAACCAAAAACTAAGTCCTCAATGAACACTATCCTAACAACCTACTTTTCTACCCTACCCTTTCCTTTTGTGTCACTTTACCCCACTCCGTCTAGCATGTAAGCTCATTGAGCAGGACCCTCAACCCCTCTGTTCCTGTGTGTCCAACTTGTCTGGTTACAAATACGTGTCTGTTAGTCCACCCATTGTACAGCGCTACGGAATTTGTTGGCGCTTAATAAATAATAATAATAATAATAATATTGAATATATTTAAGTAGTAATTTTGTGTGTTACAGAAAGACAAGGAGCATCGAGCTGATGTGTTTGACCTTTTTCCGGGAACATTTCAGACTATAGAACTGGTAGCTGGCAACCCTGGCACGTGGTTATTACATTGCCATGTGACAGACCATATTCACGCTGGCATGGAAACTACGTTTACTGTAAAGAGAGCTGGTAAGTAGATCCTGGGATCAGCCCAGCCAATCACATTTGTCCTCAGAGCTGAAGGCCATTTGTCTGTTAAGAACTATTTTTATTTTTTTTTGTGGTTAGTTTAACGTTGATTTATTTCAAGGTCTTAGAGATTGTAACCTAAAATCACTGAATCCTACCTAAAAATGACACATCTGAGGAAAGTTTACATTTAATTCATTGTTTGGGGGAGGGAGGGAATCCTATATACAGAACAACACTGAACATAATGTATTACCAGACACCAAATTGCCCTGAAAGAATCAGGAAATTTAAATCCAGTGTCATTACATGCATCCAAAGTGTCTAATAAATACACTCATTTTTTTTTCTTACTATTCAGTTGTTATATACAGATTTTGTAACTCTGATTTATACTCTTAGCATATATAAAAAAAATATATACGTGTGTGTGTGTATATATATGTAAGGTCATTTTTTTTAAACTCAGCTATTACACCCCTTTTCCTTGGCGGGCCCTCTTTATTCAGGCCTAACGCATGTTGGTATCGGCACAACACTACCAACTTACCACTCCTTCTACTGTTACGTATCCCACAGGGTTCCGACCACAAATATATATATGTTGCCAAAATACCAGAGTATTGCAGTATGCAATAATACCTTTTTTATTGGACTAACTTAATATTTCAAAGACAAGCTTTCGAGAGTTTTCTCTCTTCCTCAAGTCTGAAGTAAAACAACAGATGTTAGAGAAGGAAAGGGAGGGGGGGGGGAGTGGGATGTCATAAATAACAGAAGATGTGCCTGAAAGTGAAAGGTGCTTGTTGGGTGAGAATAGCCAGAAAAAAGTAAATAAACAGAGGAGAGTCAATAAGCTAGTTAAAAAAGAGAAAAAAACAAGATTGATCAGTATTGCTTCAGACCTGAGGAACAGAGGAAGCTCTCGAAAGCTTGTCTTTGAAATATTATGTTAGTCCAATAAAAAAAGTATCATTGCATACTGCAATACTCTGGTATTTTGGCACTACATGAGAATGTAGAAATCTCAAAATTCAAGAATATATGAGTTCTTAAAATTCAAGAATATAAGAATTTAAAATAAAACATGCAGAGTGTTTATTGTTAAAAAAAATATACAAAATACTAAATGTAAACACATTGTGGTTTATTTCAAACACAGGTGAAAGAGCCTTCCCCACAGAAAGCAATGGTACGTATTATTCATTATTTTGTGCGACTTGTGTTCTGACATCTCTATATGCAGTCATGTATAATTTTTTTCATTTTTTTGGCAGATTCTGAACCAGGTGGAGTTCCCTTTTTTGGCCAAGTCATACCGGCTTCGAAAGCACACATAGCACTGATCTCTCTTCTAGCGATTGGTCTTTTACTCTTAGTTTTGCTGATAATAGCATTCACACTTTTCATCTGTACGACAAAGAGGGCTCAGTACAGCACGATCCACAACGGAATTCTTCCTGATAATAATCTGTCAATGCATCATTTGGTCGCAAAGCCTATAACCCAGGACACTAATGGCTAACTTTGGCCCTTGAGTCTTGCTGAGCATTATGGGACATGTAGTGCACAAATATATGCAGTGCCAAGAGTATATAGCCATCACTGTTCTAATAGGATTTAATTCCATGATGTTGCACTTTATTTGCCCGTGTTTACGCTCTCAGCACAAATCCACTGGATATTTTATTTCATAAGATTTCATTTAAATACTGTAGAATTTCAGACAATGTAAGAAACTGTGTTTTTTTTTTTTTTTTTTAAATGTAGTTGTTTTTTTATGACGGCTATTTTTTACAAGTTTTTTCTACCTCAAACTATCCTTTGAATTAGACTGGTTGTTATCATTAATATTTAATTCACTGCTTTTTAAGATAATTAAAAACATTCTCCATTGTCAGTGGTTGACAGAACTTGTTATTATATTGCGTTGTGTTTTAGGAACTGAAGTATAATAAATGGCCAAGTACAATGACAATGTATGTTCCTTGCGATAATTATAGTGTAAGGAGCATACAGTCAGGATTACCCATCATGCATTGCACCCAGGCACCTTACATTTAAAGGTGGATTTTACTTGCCTGTAATTCCTGTGGATTGTCTATCTCAGTGAACCTTGGCTTACCCTCCTAGTAGTTGCTGATAATTGCTGCAGTTATCGCTGCAGCTATAAACTTATGTCTTTTTTCCCAGACATCAGAAGACGAAACAGACACTCAGTGTCTGAAATTTCCATGAAATTAAATTGATATTGCTAATGCAGAACTGTAAATTCTGCGTTAACTATTTGGCAATGGAGAGCACTGTCTTCTTGTGTCTGTGGGACCACCAGTTTTATTCAAACCTCTCATAAATGGTTTAACACAGAGCCTGTGGAGAGTGCCAATAGCCTGTTAGCGCCGTAACCACAACAGTGTGCTGTGGTTATTGTGCTTAGACTGGCCATTTAAAGTGGAAGATATGTGCCACCAATCCAAAATAAGTAGAGTATTGGAAGCCCTGTTGACGCTCACAGCACCATGTTTCTGATGTAATGTGCTATTAGAAATATCTTCCTTTCATCCCCAACGCTGTGTATACATAGGGGTGGTTTCTCAAAACAATTTTAAAACAAAAATAATGCACATTTACTTTTTTTTTTTTCAATTTGTTCTTTATTGTTTTCAAATATCAAATAACAAGGGGGCACAGAAAGGTAGAGGGGGAGGGGGGCAATAAAGGTTCAGTGTGCACACTGTGTTACATGAAATGCATTTGGTTGTTGTATACATTCTTGTAGGTTACTTTTGCATTTATGCATCTTTGGTTTCGACTCTCTGCTCTTGTGACTACCGTCACTCGGGTCTGTTTTCCCCTGTCTTAAGCTTGTCTAGAGTGGGGGCCTTTTGCCATCAGATGGTCTTGTGTTGCCCATTGGGCTTTTGCGTTAGGTCTCCTGGTTTGGGATGCTACGCAGGGTGTGAGTTGGCTTGAGTCTTGTCTCTGGAGGAGTAGAGTCGTCCCTAAGACCTTTACAGTAGTCTTTCTCCCTGTTATCATAGGGATTCTGTCTGTTGGCCGAATTATTCTTCCTTTGTTGTCAGCGTCTAGCTTTGGTGTGCCGGGGGGGTTATCAGCCAGGTCTTTTGGCTGAAAGGGTTAACGGGGGGTTGGGTCAGGGTGGGTGGGTATTGGTCCTGGGCCTTGACCCCTGTCCGCTTCTGTATTAATGTCCAGGAGGTTAGTAAGGTGTACTACTGTGTCTTGGTGGGTGGGGAGGAGATTCGGGAGTGATGTGTTCCTCAGGCAGGCAGGTGTCTGGGCCAGGGGCCACCTGGTTTTGTTCATCTGTCTGAGTGTCTGAGGTCTGTGAATGCGTCTTGTTAGCAAGTTGTAGGTAGGCCTGCCACATTGTGTTGGTGTGGGGACCTTGTTTCCCAATTTTCATCTGGTACTATCTGGTAGGAGTTCGTATTCTATTGTTGCAGGCATTTCAGATTTGATTTCCCTGAGAGAAGGCAAGTTGTGGGTCTTCCAGCATTTGGCTATCAGTGTGGATACTGTGCTCAGTATCAGGTAGATCATCTTCCGGATTGGTTTAGGAGTGTTGTCCGGTAGCAGTCTGAGTAATATTATAGTTGGTTCGTGAGCCAGTTGGAAGTTTGTGACTTTCGTTATCAATGTTATGGTTGCACATTTATTTTAATGTCATCTTTAGAATCTTTATTCCCAGCAAATCAGGGCATCTTAACGGTTTTGGTAATTTTCACAGCTTTTACACTGTCTAATCAACCATATGTCGTAACTATATCTGGTTCTGCACAAACTATTTAAATGGAAACTATAGGGCCAGGAAAACAAACTCCTTTTCTTGGCACTATAGCGTCCCTCTCTGTCAAGGCCCCCCTCCTGCGGCGCTGAAGGGGTTAATAACTCCTTCAGTCACTTACCTGGGTCCAGCACCGATGTCCCTCGGCACTGGCTCAGCTTTGCCAACGCTTCTCCCCGGTGATCTAATGACCATGTGCGGTGATCTAATGACCATGTGCGGCAATTCAGTGCTTTCCTTTGGGGGATCTGGCAACGCTGGAGGTCCTCATGCAAAGCAACCAAACGTCCTCATGCATAGACGAGCAAAACAACCAAAAATCGTCTAAGAAGCTGGAAGTTCTAGACAGCCACTAGAGGAGGAGTTAACCCTCAGAGGTAATTATTGCAGTTTATAAAATAAGCGGAAGTGGTCTGGGTGCCTACAGTGTCCCTTTAGGATTGTATGCATAAATAGAAAACAAAAAAGGAATTTAAATACTTATTATTAAATACAGATTAAACAGAAAAAACTGCTTCCCACTGAACACCTCCCAAGTAGTGTTACATCAGAACAAGCCAAGAAATACAATATTCGTGGGATTCAGCTGATCTAAAATAAAATAAAACTGTTTCATGCTATGTTTTATTTTATTTTAGATTCAGGGCCGGACTGGGGATACAAAGCAGCCCTGGAAAAAAAATATATGCCAGCCCTATAAGTCAATGCGCCATATATTGTCGCATGTAATATGTAGGGCTATGTCTTGCCACCCCAGATGATTGAATATAATATACCATGACACAGACAGGCCATGCCACAGACACACACACACCATGACACAGACAGACCATGCCACACAGACACCCACCATGACACAGACACATACACCATGACACAGACAGACACACCATGACACAGACAGACCATGCCACACAGACACCCACCATGCCACAGACAGACACATACACCATGACACAGACAGACACATACACCATGACAGAGACAGACACATACCATGACAGAGACAGACACATACCATGACACACACACGCACCATGACAGAGACAGACACATACCATGACACACACACACACACCATGACAGATACACACACACACACAGGTCATGCAGGGCAGAGAGCTGGGTGTGATGGCGGCCGCTGGAGGTGCAGGGATGGCAGCCGCTGGAGGAGCTGTTCTGGCGGCTGCAGGGGAAGCTGTGCTGTCTCTGCTCCCCCTCCCTCGCGCGCTATTGAATGAGTATTCAGTAGCGCGCTGGGGAGCAGGGACAGCACAGCTTCCCCTATGGCTGCCAGAACAGCTCCTCCAGTGGCCGCCATTCCTGCTCCTCCAGCGGCCGCCAGCACACCCACATGTCTCCCCGGCCCCAGGTGCCGACGGCCCACCTGGAAATTTCCCGGTATCTTGGTGGGCCAGTCCGGCCCTGTTTAGATTCATCAGCTGAATCCCACGTATATTGTATTTCTAGGATTGTATGCAAATCTGCAGGATTGCACATTTGCTGATATTACTCTGTTTACATGCAAAATGTCACAAGTAAACAGTGTGACACATTTAAGGCATTGTGATCATATGATTGCAGTGTCATTAAAAGTAGGTCACTGGCAAAATTAAGGGGTCTCCACTGAGGGTTTAAGGAGTTTAGGATTGAGTTTGCATTAAAGGATTAGGGTTAGGGATTACAATGGGTTACAATGCTTTAATGGACGTAACGTTAGGGGGCTGAGAATGATAGGCGTTACAGTCTAAAGCAGATTGAAGGCAGTTACTTGCAGCCCAAAGTCCCTGTTTGTACAAAATAGCTTCAAATCTCCAACAGCCCCATATTCCTCTAAATTGTACTGTCTTTTTTGTACAGTTTTAATAACACTGTAGCCATAGGATCCAGTGAACGAAGAACTGAAAAAAAATTGTTTTGTAAATGTACTGTATTGTTTTATTTTGTCCCTGAACTGCAATCTACATTAATTGTTCGTTTTCTTTCATGTGTTGTCTAAGAACACCCTTTTTACTGATAACTTTATATTTTCTGTTATTTTTTGCATCCTACTTGGTAGTGAAGATGTTAGCAAACATGGCATCTGAATTGGTACATAATCTGAGCAATATGTTTCACTCATGTTATTGGGAAAATGTGACGTTGTATAGTCATTTACAGCTCATATCCTACAACACTCCATATACTGTATTGGACTCTTATTTTCAAGTATTCACTTGTACTTGTTAAGGTGCAGTTTTATCACATTGCACTGTTCTTTATATATCATAAAAAAACTGTGTAAAACTATGTAGGTAGGACTGATTGACATTTGAAATGTCTGCATTACAAGTAGCAGGGTGGGGAGATTGGCAGGCTGCGGGTTCTGAGAACAGTCCTGTATTTTGTCAAAACACTCCAAAATGGATAGACAGCACTCAGGGTCCTGTCTCGCCATCCCACCTTTGTTTCTGTTATGGCCTCTGCACCCTCTTGTATTCTGCCGTCCCATACTGCCATTGTGCATCATTCTGGCGTGATTTTCGGCACAGAGGGCTCCAACCTGCCTCCTTCATGATGATCGCATAATTTTTTTACATCAGGCAGGTCCAAGTTTATCCAGGAACACACAGCCATTTGTAACAGTTCTGGGTTTATTTAAGGACACACCATGCACTCCTCTTTGCCCTGTCATGGTCTATGTTACCCGAGAGTGCGTTTGGAATTGTGGTGTGTGCATTCTGGTTTTAATTCGGCTGTGCTTCTGACTACCTGGCCTCTGAAATCTTTGACTTACGTTCTGTTTGCTTTCTCTTTATTCTTGACCTGAGTCTGTCCTGGATTTCTATTTGCATTTTAGACTATTATATGTTAAGACTAGCCACTCACAAGGATCAGTACTATGTCTTCCTTTTTTATAGGATACTCTTTGCTCTAGGTTACACTATTTAAAATTACTCGAGGAATATTTTTGGTTTTTGGTAAAAAAAAGTCATATGTAATATTAAAGCATTATATGATGTGAAGAAATATAGTGAAAATTGAGTTAGTTAACATAAAAGGACACCTTTGGCACCATAACCACTGTCAGCTCTTGACTAATGAATACTATTTGTTATTAGCATTTTACATAGCAGAGCGCTTTTACAATTTTGCAGGGATTATTTAGAGGGTATATTTGGCGGCAAAAAGGGTCCTGCTCAAACAAGCTTACATTCTCTGAAAGTTTGAGGTAGGCAGATATATATCATTAGATGTCTTGTCCAGGGACACTCACTAGTGATGGGGTCTAACTGAGATTCAAACTTAGGTTTTCCAGCTCTAAGTGGGCTTCATAAGATACCATGGTCAAAAGTGGTGGGGGGCACTAACAATTTTCACCACTGAAAAAGAAAACACGCACGCACGTACGTACGTACGTATGTACGTACGTACTTTGGGGCCTTATTCCAAAAGCGTTTCAACAGCAGCACACTTCAGTGTTTCAAAAACAAAAATTTCGCTTCTTCTGGCGCTGTTTGGATGATCCTTTTATGAAAGTTTGTTGCCATTGCACCAGTATAACCCATTTGTAGGGGATCGTTATGTCCTCTAATAGCGGTCATTTTCTTGGGCACATAAATGCACAGCTTCCTGCATCTCCGTGCAGATGCTGGGGTGATATCATATCCCACCTCCTGGTATCAGTACACAGTGCATGAGGAATGCAGTGATCCCTCGGCACCTTCTCCAAAACATATTGGCAGAGCCGATACTTGCCACAAGGAGGTAGTACTGATACACATTTGAAGCATTCGTTATGTTGAGTTATTTCAATTGCTTTTGTTTTATTTGTTCACTGGAAACGGCTAAAAGTCTGTAAAGTTTAACAATAACCCTGATTTTTAATGGGGTTTGAATCATTTAGATTTCAACTGTACTGCCCAATACATACAGACACACACTGCCTAACACATACACAAAACCTCTAATGCACACACACATAAATACCGCCTAATAATAATAACACAGTATTTAACCAGGAAAGGCACATTCAGATTACTCTGGTTTTCAAGTATGTCCTGGCGATGTTACCTTAGCCCAACATCCAGGGGTTGTTACTAATACCCAATTTAATAATACTCATTTTATCTACCTCAAAAGGAAGAAGGGGTGAGTCAACTCTGCTGGGATTTGAACCTGTGACAGACTGCTTAATGCATAGACGCACAATGATAAATACATACACACACTTCTTAATACATACACACACACTCATCCCTTACACACTCAGGTGGGGGCTGGGTGCACTATAATCAGCCTGTTTCGATCAGTGTGGTAGCTCCTCTGTGTCTCAGGAGGTCGTGCTGGCATGTTTCCTACTCCTATATGTCGCACAGAGCAGGGGCAGCAGCGCATGGATGCCGCAACCTTGACCTGCCCTGCCATGTGCAGCACTGAGATAGAAAGCACCTCTAGTGGCCGTCGAGTGACTGCCACTAGAGGTGTTTCTAAAGAACAATGTAAATACAGCCTGATATGTGAAAATGTAGCATTTACAGTGCTCAGCCTATAGACTATAGACACCAGCCTGGTGACTAAGGTGTCCCTTTAACACTATAAACACTACAAAGTACTGTAGTACTCTACCGGTGATCTACAATGACCTATAATACTTATGATGCGTAGACTATCCCTTTAAAAGAAAATGCATGCTGTTTCCTCTTTTACCCTACCACCACAGTCCTTACATCACCAGTGCCCACACGGTTTATGTTTAGCAGAACATGAAGTGAATTTTGTTTGTGGATAACGAGTGCCATAACTGGAAAATTGCTTAACAAATTACATTTAAAAAGTGTTTTTGTTGCTTGAATTTCTAATAAAGCACATTGTGGTCAACAACATGTGACTGGCTTTTTTTACTAAACGTTGCATAAAAAGCTTTATGGTTCTTAATTCAGAATACATTCACCCACATAATTTGGAATTACACAGAGGATTTTCTACATAAACAGGAACTGAAACATATAAGGCTCTGTTAAAATGTAGTCTTTTTTTATATATGTTTTAAGTAGATTCTGCACTTTTCGTTGTATGATTGGATGCATTTAAAATAAACAAAAATACCACTATGCAGAAAACATGCATAAATTAAATGTTTTTTATTTTAATGAGTGCATTGTTATGAAAATTGCTGTTGTTTGCTGTGTTAAGCAGGTGGCCACTGATGCTCTCTGCCTATAAACAACTTACCTGCTAACCCGTCATAAACTGCATCGCAGAGGGGGCAAATGGTTTAACCCTTGGGTGGGGTACCAAGGTGTTTAGACACTGTTGTCCCCTTCACAACTTACGGTTTATTCACTAAAGTGAACATTCTGGGGTGTGGCTTGGGCACCGGACAAGATGGCTGCATAAACAAAGAGCTCCGCTCCACCTGATCCCCTCACAGCGCCCAATCTATAGCCGAGCACACCAAATGGGCCATAATCGACGCTCGGAGGCCCCCAGACGCCGAGGGGCACACAGCAGGGCCCTCTCGACGGCTATCTACAACCGCAAACCAGCGGGAGTAACAAGGCGGGAAGCCCCCCAAAATGGCACTGGCATCCACGGCGGGCTCAGACAACACCACCCTAGAACACATTTGGGAAGAATTGAGGAACTTAACTGCCTCCATGGTCAGCAAAGCTGATCTACACAGCCTCACCAGCACCATACAAGAGACACTGCAGGCAGAAATGGCGGGTATAAGATCTGAGGTAACAGCTCACGCGGGCCGCATCCAGGCATTGGAGCAGACCATCGAGGCCCAAACCAGCAAACTTACTGCGACAGACACTGCAGTAGCCCGCCAGGGCAACGTATTACTAGCAATGCACAGACACATTGAAGATCTGGATAATAGGGGGCGATGCTGCAATATAAGGATCCGTGGAGTACCCAAAACTGACGGGGAAGAAAATGTGGAGGAAATCCTCACAGAACTCTTTCACACACTGCTACAAGCAGCCACCCCCCAACACATCGAATTTGAGAGAGCACACAGAGCATTGAGACCTAGATCGCTAGAAGAGGGCCCAAGAGACATGGTATGCTGCCTGCATTACTTCCCAGTGAAGGATGCCATCATGAGAAAGGCCCGCGAGAGACCGACGTGGCCCTATAGAGGAGCGCAGGTCTCCCTTTACAATGATCTTTCCCCCATCACCTTGGAAGCTCGCGGTGCACTCAGACCGGTAACAGCGGTATTACGTGACCGCAACATCACTTACAAACGGGGGTTCCCATTTGCCTTGCTCGCCCGCCATCAAAACAGATGGATCCCACTACGATGGCCGGAAGAGGTCCTTCGCTTTATGGAGGAATTAGAGCTCCTGCCTGCCTGTCGTCAACTGGATCCTGGGGCCCGTGGGACCCCCACTGAGACCCCAGAGAACACCCAGGAGACGCGACACACGATCACCACTGGGACACGCTCCCCAGTGGCGCAGACACCCGGCGGCCCCGGAGGAATAAGTGAGTACTCACAATTACATGCAGCGTCACCAAGCCACTCACACACCCGGGGAACCAGAACAGCTCCATTACCCGCCTACCCCTTAGGCCGCCGGGGTCCCCTTGACACCAGCGCACCTGAGATGTGGCTATATTGCACAGATCACCCCCAAAAGTCACAAGCTACCATTGGACCCAGACCCCAGGTGCCCTTGGACACCCGGGGGGGGTACCTTGCGGGATTTGGGAGGGGGGGACCGGGAGTCATAACTGGGTGTGGGGACTCTACTAGTCTTGCTAACACTGCACCTCCAAGTTCGAAGCCCTAGAGAGGGATAAAACACTCCCGGAAGATCGCAAACAGAGCTCAAGTATTGGGGGAGGGGAAGGGGTGGGGGGGTGGAACGGGACTCGCCTGCACATACCAAGGCGCAAAGCAGCCACTCTTGAGGCACACACTGGGTCACCCTCACCTCACCATAATAGGGAAGGTGCCAAGGGACTCGGACTACATATGCTACATCAACCACCGAAGTCTGGTTCTAGTCGCTTTGGGGAACTCGGCCACTAACTGAGGGACAGACAGGAGGGACCCAAAGACTTCCAAAAGGCTGCCCCCTTATGGATGTTTTACATTGTTGTCAGGGTCCAACCCCAAACACCCCACACAGTTTGACCTCAAAATGTGCTATACACCTGAATTGTGTTTATACCTCTTCATGTACCTACAATAATGACTGCACTTGTATAATAGCTGAACCCAAAAGGTGGAAGGTTAAAATCGTAAGGGATTGGGCACTCGAAGGGGAAGAGGGGGGGGAAGGCAGGACGACCCACATCTTACATGTAGGACACTAAAGGGAAGCGGACAACACCAGTTACAGAAGGGACTGGAGAAAGCCCAAGACACCCTACCTGACCACTGTCCCCGACAGCAGGATGACTCACTAAGCATCGGGAGAGGGAGACCACAAGAAAGACGAGAGAGGAGTTGGGTCCCATTCAACACCACCCCACGGCACAAGCATGCAGGGCAGATAGATAGGAACACAGGGAAGGGATGGTGGCACGGGGAAATGAGGATATTTCTGACACCACCCAGATCACAGACCGAGCAACAAAGATCTCCCCATAACAGGTGAGCTCCCTGCTGCACCCGGACTGATCAGCTCCACTCTGACACGGAACTATCCGCCCTGGCACAGAGACACGCAACTGTAGGGTACAGAAGCTAAATTATTATGCAAGCTCCGTGCAGATAGGGGTCACAGGGCACACGGACTGAAATGCAAAACGAGACATAAAGGAGGGATGGGAATGACTAAGGGGGGTGATGGACTGCACACTAGCAGTAGACTTCCACACATACAGAACACTATTAAACACGAAACTCAATGGGCGGGATGTGGGGGGGCGTTTGAATGGAGAAGAGAAGATTTATGTTGTACCTTGGGTGTGGTGCGGATGGGAGGGGGCATAAGGGAATGTTGATTTCACTGTTATTACTATTCTCATATTGGTTGAATGACTACATGCATGTTTACATAAATGAAAGAACAAAGATGTGACTCATGTTACGCTTAGAGAAGGAATGAATGGGGTGGTGGTCGGATCATAGCCCGGTTAGAATGGGTCCTTTGTTCCGCACCTCCACTTGGACCTGGCGACTAAATGAGGCGCTGCTCCTGGACCAGGATACAAGGGAACAAATCGGACAAGCCCTGGACCTTAACTTCAGAGAAAATGACCGGGAAGTCGCCCATAACACTGTGGGAAGCTCATAAGAGTGTAATCTGCGGAACACACATTCGGATTGCATCGTAGAAAGAAAAAGCGGCTACCAGGGAAATGGCAGAACTATACAAGACCATCTCAACACTAGAAGCACAACATAAAATAAATCACCTTAACACAATATATGGAGAGCTCATGGAGGCCAGGAGAGCACTGAAAGACCTAATAGTGAAAAAGCACCTCCGTGCTCTGCAGGGTTCGAAGGGCTTCTTCTACACCATCGCTAAAAAGGGGGGTAAGCATACTACAGTGTATGTTAGACTGGCATCAGAACCCCCCACGTAAGCATTGGGTAACGCAAGATAGAAAAGCCACAGAGGGCGCAATAGAACCAATGATCTGGGGGAGAGCCCTGAGATCTCAGGAACAGGGGGGAGATGACAGGTCGGTCACACAGACACTTCGGGGATGGAAATCTCTGAGGGAAAAACCAAACATATCACCTACACCTAGTCCATTGCTCTCGGTGACGTACAATAGCAAAATAGGAGGGGGCCTGCCGGCCAGGGCATGGAGTTTCTTAGGCGAAGGGGAATATCTACCCATAAGCAGGGCACTACGAGCGGACGGACTGAGGGACCTAGATTCGCTCCTGGAGGGGAGACCACGGACCATCATGGCCACTCTCAGATATATGCAACTGAAATAATATTACACAACGCTTACAAACAGAGAACGTTTACATAGGGAACTGACATGGTTCGAGGGCTTATGCGACCGAGGCATCACAATAGACCATGCTGTCTCTGCAATATACCAACAACTTATACCGAACGACCAGAAAAACGTTGTCACCTTCAAGCGGCGGTGGGAGGAGTCCCTGAATAAGACATTCACAACGTCACAATGGGATAAGGCCTTGCTATGGCAACATAAAAGCTACTACCAAGAAGTCGGCTACAAGCTGATATCCTCCTGGTGTAGAACGCCAACCGTAATACACCGCATATTCCCGGGCGTGCCACCGATGTGTTGGAGATGCCAAGAGGAAAGGGGCATGCTGATGCACCTGTGGTGGGAATGTCACGACATACTCCCATACTGGGACATGGTGAAAACAGAGGTGACCCTTGTATTGGGAGAGATCCCAGACTAGTCGGCAGAACTCGCCCTATTACATATCTCTCTGACGATTTTGAGTTATAAAAAAATCAATCCTTTAACGCCTACTAAACGCAGCGAAGGCGTCCATACCGGCCTACTGGAAAAAAAAACAACATCCCGACAAAGGAGTGGATCCAACGGGTGGAGGATATACAGAGCGTGGAGTCGCTCCATGCCTCCCTAACGGGAAGGGAACTCAAACATGTTTCTTAGGCGAAGGGGAATATCTACCCATAAGCAGGGCACTACGAGCGGACGGACTGAGGGACCTAGATTCGCTCCTGGAGGGGAGACCACGGACCATCATGGCCACTCTCAGATATATGCAACTGAAATAATATTACACAACGCTTACAAACAGAGAACGTTTACATAGGGAACTGACATGGTTCGAGGGCTTATGCGACCGAGGCAACACAATAGACCATGCTGTCTCTGCAATATACCAACAACTTATACCGAACGACCAGAAAAACGTTGTCACCTTCAAGCGGCGGTGGGAGGAGTCCCTGAATAAGACATTCACAACGTCACAATGGGATAAGGCCTTGCTATGGCAACATAAAAGCTACTACCAAGAAGTCGGCTACAAGCTGATATCCTCCTGGTGTAGAACGCCAACCGTAATACACCGCATATTCCCGGGCGTGCCACCGATGTGTTGGAGATGCCAAGAGGAAAGGGGCATGCTGATGCACCTGTGGTGGGAATGTCACGACATACTCCCATACTGGGACATGGTGAAAACAGAGGTGACCCTTGTATTGGGAGAGATCCCAGACTAGTCGGCAGAACTCGCCCTATTACATATCTCTCTGACGATTTTGAGTTATAAAAAAATCAATTCTTTAACGCCTACTAAACGCAGTGAAGGCGTCCATACCGGCCTACTGGAAAAAAAAACAACATCCCGACAAAGGAGTGGATCCAACGGGTGGAGGATATACAGAGCGTGGAGTCGCTCCATGCCTCCCTAACGGGAAGGGAACTCAAACATGTGGAACTATGGCGCCCATGGTTTATATACATCGCTCGGCACTCACGAAGGGGGGGCGGCCGCAAAACTGAGGTGGGCGCGAGGACGGACCCGTGCCCTTCTTAGCGCGGACCACCACATCCTACCTATCCCAATACACTTCTTTTCCCCATCCCCTCCCACCCCAACCTTAAGCTAGAAACACAAAAGGAACACTATCATAGAAAACGGAGGGTGCACCACTGGTGCTCACACATCATATCACTAGCAAGAGCTAAAACACACACACCTACTCAACACAACCAACAGAACATTATTTGACACAAGGCACGCATAACAGCAGAACATGAAACAGCAGATGAGGACGAAACAAAGGGCACACACAGCGGAACAACACCCCTGACTACACATAAAGCCAATAATACACCTAAAACATTTCCTAAAACGACAATGGCTTGACCCACCCCACTACAGCACACGGACGAATCAGCCCGGCTAGATAGAATAGGGTCACACATTAAAGGGTATGACGCAGCCCACCTGTTTCAATAAGGTCAACTTTGAGTCCCAGTCATGGGTGAACACTCAAGAATGGACAGGAAGCAAAATTCTTGATTCGTTGATACAGTCTAGAGGGAGAGGAGGGCACAAAGAATGTAACTGATGGGCTGATCTGAAAACCTAAGCCCCACGCCAATTACTACACCCAAGATCCTCACGACAATGCTTACCATATGAGTTACGCATTCATGTTATCTCCATGATGGGGACCTACGTGTCCCAGACGACACACTTCTTTGTTATCTATTACCTATGTCAAAAAACTTTAATAAAAACAGATTTACAAAGAAAAAATAAAGTGAAGATTCTAAGTGAAATCAAAATGAATATCAAATTTAAGGCCAGAGTAGCTGATCTGATCTGAGTAGCGCTTTACAATATTATGAGAGGGTTGATTTAACTATAAATAGGACAATTACGAGAAAACATACAGAAACGATAGGTTGAAGAGGTTGAAGACCCTGCTCAAGCGAGCTTATATTCTATAGCCCAATACTTTCCAAATGGGAAAGCATTGGATTGGCTAAAAATCATAAATTTTGATGATGCCAGCAAGGAGGCGAATCAGGGGCGTGGCCAGCGTCAGCAGACCCCCCGGCGCTGGAAATTAGGTATTTTTTTTTACCTTTTAAGGGAGTTATGGGGGGGGGGGGCAAGTCACCTAAATGGTAGTTTTAACACTATAGGGTCAGGAATGCATGTTTGTGTTCCTGACCCTATCGTGTTTCTCACCCTACCATGTTCCTTTAAATTAGAAATTTCCTTTGAATTCTCACTTTTGTAAAAAAAAACAAAAAAAAACTGTTAAATGAGCTTACGTTTTTGTCTCCATGATTAAAACATTTTCTCCAAAACGTCAAACCTGTTAAAACATATTTTACAGTTTAAATAAGCATTTGGTATAATGGAAGATACACTATACGGTATTTCTACAGTTACTGCGAATGTATTGTGATTGGAGACACTTTACATGCAGGATAATCCTCGTTAATGACACTGACACCCTGGCTTTACTGTCAGCAAATTGACGTCAGAATGGAGTTACATCAGTCACTCTGCTCCTGCCTCCTATGTTACCTCAGCAAATGCAAATGTGGCCTATTGGGGAAATACCAGTATGACAGAGAGCAGGAAAACCATCTGTAGAAGGGTTCTCCTGCTCTCCTCAGTCACTCAATCCTCGGCATTAACTTAATAAATAAAAATGTTAGGTAGTGGAGACACCACATTTTTAGAGATCATACTATTAAACTATGTACATTGCTAGCATTTATCCTTCCATAATGTATGGGGTGATATGTTATTCTGTTTAATTTAAAAATAAGTTCTTTAAAAAATAACAGAAGCACTTAAAAATGAAAGTGTTACTTCTCTGGAATTAAACATTTGTTTCATGTGATGCTGTATTTTCTTTGAATACGTATATTAAAGATTTAGTGGCATCACAATCCAGTTTATTCCAGGCACAATCAGGGTGCACAATGCAAATTAGCAAATGAACAAAAACACAATATTCAGTGATAAAAAAGGCAACTTTTATGATTACAATTGACAGGGAGCCAAGATGGAGACGCCCAGCTCCAGGATAGAAGTATGTATTTCTACATATAATTTTATTTTTCATTCCTCACAAAAACATATTTCCTAGACATTGAGGCTTAGTAAACATAATTTACTAGGTAGTGACCGTTCATATTTAAATCATTGCTTCCATTAACCGTTATCAAAGTGCTGCCTTCTACAAAGATTCTCCAGACTGCAAGGTTCCTTATGGTTAAAACCACAGACCGACCTTCCCATCCTTGGAGAACCTTCTAGTCTTGGTAAAGTCTCAATTCTAACATGATTCAAAGATTCTAAGCAGAAATTTTTTTTGTAATATAGTTGCATTTTGCAGCAGAACTGTCACCAGTAATCATGAAGGAGCCTTTTATTGGGTTATGCTTTTTTAAAATTCTAATTACATTTTGTAATGTTTATGCCAGCACCTGACTGTCATTGCATGATAATTAACCCGTGCAATGCTGTATGCGCATCACATGTTCACATATACTGAAAGAATTCTTAACTGCTCTTCGATATACCCAAAGCATCATGCAAGGGACGGTCATCCGGAACAGGCATAATACAATTATGTTATTAATAGAATTTTACAGTAATTGTATGTGTTATCTGAGCATACGCATCAGGCTTTTACATCAGATTGTTCTGTTGTCATTTGTTGGGGTTTTGTTGTTTGTTTTTTGTAGGGGGGGTAGCATAATACATTTCCTTATGAAAACCTCACTATATGTCACTAAGCTTATTCTTCAAAAGAAAACAAAGCATTTTGATAACATTTTTTGTTTTGCTAAAAAAAAAATATATTTAACTAGAAAGCTACAGTTTCTGGGGAAATTGTGTGAAGTGTTCTTGCCCCTACCAGTAGTCTACAAAAATCATTAGCAGGTGTACAAAAGGCCCTGTCTATGACATCACTTGCTGCTCCAGCCTGGCACAGGTCAGAGTATTTTGGCGGTTGCCATTTTCAAACGGTTGTATTTTAAAAACTATAAATCCTACAGCAAAGAGCTTTATATTGTGAGAATCACAAGACCCAGACCTACATTTTGATGCATAGTATGTCTCTGAAATATTAACAATGAAGGCACAGTCGTAGTTTAGAAATTGCCCTTCAAATTTGAGCTGGCTGGAGTGGAGTTTCAATGAATGTCAATGGACGGTGTGAGTTGCAAACAAATGGTCATATTGTGAAAACTATCAGGACTATGGCTTAGCCGTGGACATGTTTAGTGGCAGCAGGGATAGCTGAACGTTTTGATATAAGATTTGTGTAGGTGGGCCTGAAAATAAGGGAGTGGTGGCAGTTTAAAAATCATGTCTTGATTTTTCAGCTTTTGTCAGCTCCCACTCTAGTTTTAAACATTTTGCCATTCATTCCTATGGGACCAATTTCGCCCCACATACGACGATATTTTGTGAACCATTCGGCGAAACGTTCTACAAAGTAATAGCACACCAATCGGGAATAATTTGCACGTTTCGGTATATTACTGTCTATGTAGTGTAAAAACTGTGGGAGGAGTTAGGGTGGTAAATTTGGCTATAATAATAATAAGAACTAGAAAAGCTAAATTTTCTGTGGAAATTGTGTGAAGAGTTCTTGCCTTCACCAGTAGTCTACAACTAGGGATCGAGCGATTATCGGTTTTACCGATATTATGGGCCGATATTCGGTATATTCGGCTATATCAGTATCGGCCACTAAAGATACCGATATTGCCGATAATACATACCAGGACCGCCGGGCCCATTATAAGCCCGGTGGTCCTGGGGGGGCGGGGCCAGCAAGCTGTTACTTACGTTCCCAGCAGATCCTTTCTGCTTCCTGTGTAAATCTCGTGAGACCCGCGGCCATCAGAGCGTTGCCACGGGTTACCATGACAACGCTCCGCGCGGCACACAGGCCGCGAGATTTACACAGGGAGCTGCTAGAAAGATAAGTAAGCGCTTGCTGCCTGCCCCTCTATACTTTCCAGGCCACTGGACCACCAGGGAATGCTGTATCCCCCCTCCCTGGCCAAGTAAGAAGCAGGGAGGGGAGGGACTAAAAATAATAATTAAATATATATTTTTTAATTAAATAAAAAATGCCCCCTCCCCCCAAATCACATACCTACAGAAACACGCACACTGCATTATATAAACACACTACACAAACACACACACTGCATTATACACACACTGCATTATATAAACACACTACACAAGCACTGTGTAGATAATGAATGCAGTGTTTGTGTAGTGTGTGTACAGTGAATGCAGTGTGTTTGTGTTGTGTGCATAGTGAATGCAGTGTGTGTGTGTATATAATGCAGTGTGTTTGTGTAGTGTATGTATATAATGCAGTGTGAGTGTGTTTGTGTAGTGTGTATATAATGCAGTGTTTGTGTAGTATGTGTATATAATAGTAAGGAGAAATCCTCGCGTATCACAACGAGGGGAATACTCCCACTAGAGTTATCCCTGAAAGGATGTATAAATATACAGGCTAGTGTAACTAGAAAAGACTTTAATAGGACATAAGTTACACATATAAGTTAAACATCCCTCAAAATGGAAAGACCGCAAAAATATATATATATAGACTGGATGGTACCAGCAATCAATCACTATTAAATCAATCTGTGAGAGCTTGAGACAAAGTTACCACACTTGTAGCAAACATAGTAGTTAATGGTGGAAACAATGTATCATTCTGCACTCACAAGGAAAAAATGAGAATGATTATCACTGAGCTAATGTGCTGTGTCCTAGTACATAAATCAACAGAAAATGGCACATAAATTCCCCTTGCAAATCAAAAATAATGACTAAATATTCAAAAATGCCCAAAAATCTTATCATTAAAGGTAAGAAATCGAAAGGACAGAAGAGAGAGTATAATGAAAAATAAAGGGGGGAAAAGGAGAAATAGTCCACAGGGGGTCCACTACAGGAAAAAAGAAGGGACACCTCCACTGTGGGTGCCCCTAATACAGATATAGGTGCCCCAACTATTGAAAAAAACGGCCGGTCAATATAGCATATGGGCACAGCACATAAAGCAAAAGGAAAGTAACAGTTAGCGAGATGCTAAAAAATCAGTGTAACAGCATCAAAAAGGAAATGGTCCAACGCGCGTTTCGGCGGATAAACCGCCTTTCTCAAGGGCATATAATGCAGTAAGAAAGTCCCCGCTTACACTCACCCGTCATAAGGGTCATCCCCCCTCCCTCCTAATGAATCATGGAGCTTATTGATATCTATCAATTTCCCATTCAAATTGGGAGTACTACGGTAGACTGAAAAAATATATATACGCACGTGCTGGATGGAAGAAATATGTTGTGCTCATCTAAAGCAGAGTATAGGCTGCATATACCAAATATAGGTGCAAAATCCATCCAGTACTACGAACATCACAATTTGTATAGAGTATTGTACTTATCTAAAGCGGAATATAACCTACATTATACCAACTCTATACAAATATTTATTTGAATCTATAATATCAAAACATAAGTTAAATAAAGGTATATATCAAAGGGGTATAACGGAATCCAAGCTCCTAATTAATCTTTGTTCAAACCCACTAATTTAACTCATTAAAATGAACATATAATAAAGTAAAATAACACAAAACAAAAACCTAAAAATAAATTAAATCAAGACAGGGTGTAAAAACCCACTTAGATACAAAGATTCTATATTCAAATTGGCATATTAAATACGAGCCGGTCGCCAAATTATCGGGTGGATAATAATCCACTCTAATTTTAATTTCAATTTCGATTTGTTGTGTCTAAGAGCTTAATTTCAAACCATAAATCAGGATTATTATAAAGACCAAATAGAGCCAGATGACAAACGGTCCATGAAAAATGGAGGGGGAGATGAAAAGCAGGGAGGTAGGGGGGACAAAAATTCAAAAAACCAAATAATTCTTTAATTCAAAATAATAAATAAGCCAAAACAGTATATATACAAGTGATCCAAAATGTTATTATTATAATAATAATTATGGCTGGCAGGTTAAATAAAGAAAAATGATAATGAATAAATTAACAAATGTTAGATATGATCAAAGGAAGGTATTCAGGTGATCCATGCGCCAGAGCCAGGGATGTATTTACCACAAGGCAAACAAGGCATTTTCCTAGGGCGGCACTTTCGGGGGGTGGGGGGAGGTTCCAAAACATGCCACCCCAAGCTCCCAGACAAATGCCTTGTTTGCCTTGTGTTCTGGGGCTGTCCACCTTACTGTGAGTGAGTGAGTGTATCTGTCAGTGTGTGTCTGTGAGTGAGAATGGGTGTGCCTGTGAGTGTGTGTATGTCATTTTATGTGTATATGAGAGTGTGTGCCTGTCAGTGAGTGTGTCTGTCAGTGTGTGTGTCAGTTAAACAGTGTTTGCCAATGACTGTGTGTATCTGTCAGTGAGTGTATATCAGTTCATGTATCAATGAGGGCATGTGTCTGTCAGTCAAAAAAATGGCCTTGACACAAATTGGGGGGGGGGGCGCAAATTTATATTTTGGGGGCAGCAGAAATCCAAAATAGACCACTGGCCAGAGCACTCCATTATAAATGGTTAGATGAACAGTGCAAATGAAAAACCTTCGTTCAAACCTAGAGGTTGGAGTGTCTTCAGTTCATATATCCACCTAGACTCCCTCTGTCTTAAGATCTTATCAAAGTCTCCACTTCTTAAGTTTCTCTTCACTAATTCTAGTCCACAGAAACGAAGATTATTAGAATCACCATGATGGTATTCTTTCAAATATCTAGAGATAGGTGTCTCCAGACGATTCCTTGGGGACCTTACATGTTCCATAATTCTGTCTCTAAAGGCTCTAAAAGTTTTACCTATGTATTTTTGTCCACATGAGCATGTCAGCAGGTAGACAAGGCCCTTTGTACTGAAGTTGAAAAAACTCTTGATCTTAAAGGCGCCTTGTCCTGTGCTGTCACTCACTATCTTAGAGCCCTTAGAGATGTACTTGCAGGCTACACATCTTTCACAGCCATATGTGCCACAAGGAGGAGTTCCCAACCAAGTGGGACGTACCTGTGGTTTCATAGTAAAATGGCTTGGTACCAACAGGTCTCGAATATTGCGTCCACATCTGGCTGTAATATTAACTCGTGGGCCTAGAACCTCCTTAAGGTGTACATCATTTAAGAGAATAGGCCAAAATCTATTGAGGGACTTCCGTACTTCTGATCAACCTGTATCAAATTTCGCAATCATGCGGATAGTTCCTGTCTCCCCATTCTCTTTCTTTGCTGGATGATCACATAACAATTCTTCCCTTTCAATTTGAAGTGCTCTTTTATATGCTTTCTTAAGACAACGGTTCGGATAACCTTTCTCTTTAAAATGTAGCCTCAATTGCTTTGCTTTTATTTTAAAGTCTTCAGTATCGCTACAGTTCCTCCAAAGGCGAAAGTACTGACCAACCGGAATGCCCTCCTTAAGAGATCGTGGATGGTGACTCCTCCAGTGCAAAAGGGAGTTGGTAGCTGTCTGTTTCCTAAATAAAGTAGATTGAAATGTGCCATCATCTTTGATGCTAATCGTCACATCTAAGAAGTTAATGGAGCATCCTCCAAATTCTGATGTGAACAGGAGGTTCTGATTAAGTAATGTCACCAAATCAAAAAATTCCTGGGGGGTACCTTGCCACACAATTAAAATGTCGTCAATGTAACGACCCCACCATAAAATCATTGGTAGGTACTCTATCAGAACATCTGCTGGTACCATCAAGTCTATATATATATTTTTGCAGTCTTTCCATTTTGAGGGATGTTTAACTTATATGTGTAACTTATGTCCTATTAAAGTCTTTTCTAGTTACACTAGCCTGTATATTTATACATCCTTTCAGGGGTAACTCTAGTGGGAGGATTCCCCTCGTTGTGATACGGGTGGATTTCTCCTTACTATTTTTTTTTCTTTTTAATTATACATGTAGGGTTATGCCCTTTTTATTACCCCTTTAACCTACTTTTGTACTACTTGATAGGGTTGGTTAACCTTACCTGGTGGTATTCTTTTTGTGTGTATATAATGCACACTACACAAATACACTGCATTATATACACACTACACAAACACACACACTGCATTATATACACACACTACGCAAACACACTGCATTATATAAACACACACACTGCATTCACTATACACATATTATATAAACACACACACTGCATTCACTATACAGATATTACACAAACACACACACTGCATTCACTATACACACACTGCACAAACACACACACACTTTGCATTTAGTATATACACACCACACAAACACACTGCATTTACTTTACGCACACTACACAAACACACACTGCATTCATTACATACACACTACACAAACACTGCATTAACTATACACACTACACAAACACACTCTGCATTCATTATATACACACTACACAAAGACACACTGCATCCACTACAAACACACTACACAAACACACACAGCTCCCCTGTCTAAACACACTGCATCCACTACACGTGGCATGTATATTTTGTGCATTTACCTTTAGAAATAGTTTATTTTTTCAAAATGGTAAATGTACAGAATATCAGTAAGTTATCGGCTATCGGCCTGAAAGTTCACAGATTATCGTTATCGGCGTTAAAAAAATCAATATCGGTCGATCCTTATCTACAACTGGAGTGGGCGGAAAAACCCCTATACCTATAAAACACAGACACTGAGTTTTGTCATGCCTAGGGCAGCACAAAACCAGGATACACCACTGCTTGTAGGGGTATACTGAGATACTCCTACACACCCAGGTTTCCGAGCTACCGACGAGCTGGAACCTACCAAAACCAATCCAAACATACTTTTGATCCTGAACTTAAAATATATCCCACCTGCTGAGCTGACCTACCCCCCAATTTCTCTCCATCCCTCGCCACTGTGACCAAACAGGGGAAGAAACAGGAACACAATATTCACCATAACAAATTAGGGAGGAAGCGTGGGCCAGAAACAAGTAGGTGAAAATTTTCCATTAAAACGGCTTATCGCCTAAAATGTCCGCTCCATATATATCACCCCTAAGCCCCACCCTTAGACTAACTAACGGACAAGATTAAAATTTCCATATGCCTGCCTCCTAGCTATGTCAAGGCCCATTCCACCTAGCTTTGATGTTCTATGGGCATCATGACATCCTCCAGGCACAGCATACAGGAGCACCAGTCATTCCCTCATTTTCAGATTGTGAAGGCCTTACAAGCTCTCAACTAGCCTGTCAATCCAACA